TTAGCTCACCGCCTCTGTTGACTAAAGCTATAGATGGAGAGCTTCTATACTTGTACCTGGGGATTTCATATGAGGCCATTAGTTCAGTTCTGGTGAGAGAAGACGCTAGGCAGCAGAAACCAATTTATTATATCAGCAGCATGCTGCACGGAGCAGAGCTGAGATATCCTATAGCTGAGAAAGCAACATTAGCAGTCGTCACTTCGGCCAAGAAGTTGAAGCCATATTTCCAGTCACACCCAATTATTGTTCTCACCGACCAACCTCTCAGGCAGATTCTGCAGAAACCAGAGTGCTCTGGAAGACTAATTAAGTGGGCAGTAGAGCTGGGAAAGTTTGAGATAACATTTCAGCAGAGATTGGCCATCCGAGCTCAAGCATTAGCAGATTTTATTGTCGAATGCACCCCATGTCCTTCAAACTCTAATCCAGAGCCCAATGACTGGACCTTATATGTTGACGGAGCATCTAGTAGCAAGGGTTTAGGGGCTGGCACTCTCTTGGTTGGTCCAGAGGGATACCGAAGCGAATATGCTCTGAAGTTCAATTTTGATGCAACAAATAACATGGCTGAGTATGAAGCTCTGCTACTTGGTCTACAGCTAGCATTGCAGTTGCAAATCAGTGTAATTCAAGTGTACAGCGACTCCCAGTTGGCGATAAACCAAATCAACTCAATCTGTGAAGTTGTTGATCCTGTGATGGTAAAGTATGTAGCCTTGGTGGCCGAGTTGAAGTGCAAATTCCAGAAATTATGTTTGAGTAAAATTCCCCGAGCTGAGAATGAACAGGCAGATTTACTCTCCAAGTTTGCCTCTGATAGCTCTTTAAGTTCCAGATCCGTTTTTGTGGAGGTCTTAGATGAACCAAGCTTCATGAAGCCCCGAATGATGGAGATTAGCACAAACCCTGACACACCGAGCTGGACTGACTCAATTATCTCCTTTTTGCGAGATGGAATAGTACCTGAGGACAAGCAAGAGGCGATGAAGTTGAGGAAGAAAGCATCTCGGTATACACTTGTTGATGGGATCCTCTATAAGAGATCTTTTTCACTTCCTCTTCTGCGATGTTTGAATCCCTACGAAGCCGAGTATGCACTTCGAGAGGTACATGAAGGTGTCTGTGGGAGCCACGTCGGTGCTAGAACTCTGGCTCACAAAGTCTTAAGGCAGGGATATTACTACCCAAACATGTATAAGGATGCCACTCACTTTGTTCAGAAATGTCCGAGGTGCCAATTCTTTGCACATCTAACTCACCAACCTGCAGAAGAACTCACGAACTTGGTAGCACCATGGCCATTTGCACAGTGGGGACTAGATCTTTTAGGTCCATTCATGAAAGGGGTTGGTGGCGTAACCCATCTGGTTGTTGGTGTGGATTATTTCACAAAGTGGGTAGAAGCTCGGCCTTTATCTAGTCTTACCTCCAAGAAGGTCAAAGATTTCGTTTTTAGCTCGATCATCTAAAGATATGGAATCCCGAATCAAATTGTGGCTGATAATGGAACTTAATTCAATTGCTCCTCATTCCGAGATTTCTGTTCCAGTTATGGGATCAAGGTACAGTTCACCTCCGTCTACCATCCGGAGTCCAATGGCATGGTGGAATTTGTTAACAAATGCATTTTGGAAGGAATAAGGCCGAGATTAGAGCAGCATAAGGCCAAGTGGGCAGACGAGCTCAACAACGTCCTCTGGGCATACAGAACCACGAGCCGAACTGCTACAGGTACTGCTTTAAACCGAGTTTATTTGATTAATTTCTATAGTATTTTACTTCTTTTGTTACGCTTTACCTTAGAGCAAATATGCATAATGCATAAATCACATTCTAAAGTTATAATTAACTAAAATAGGTGAAACACCCTAACACCTAGCCTTTGGTACCAAAGCAGTCATTCCTGTTGAAATAGGAGTCCCAAGCTTCCGAGTCACCCATTTCGATGAAGGGCGAAATGGACAACTGCTTCGGGAAAACCTTGATCTGCTTGCTGAAGTTAGAGAAGAAGCTCAACTTCGAACTCTTGTATACAAGCAGAAGCTAGCCAACTTCTACAATAAACGGGTCCGCCCTCGAACTTTCAAAGTAGGAGATCTTGTTCTCAGAAAAGCTGGCCTAACAGGGTTTGAAACTCGTTTTGGCAAACTCGCCCCGAATTGGGAAGGCCCTTATACCATGGCCGAGGTGCCACATCCTGGTGCCTATGTCCTCCAAGACGCTGAAGGAAAGAGAGTTCCTAGAGTCTGGAATGTCAATAACTTGAAGAAATTTTACCCCTAATAGAATTCTTTCAAGAGATCTATGTCTTACAGTTCTTATTTCATGTTTGTCGAGATTCATTTTACGTCTTATTCTATGTATCCGAGGTTAATCAGTCTATTCATTCCTTGAACCTCACTTCTGATTAATAAATGTCACTTCACATATGAAGTGCTTTACTTCCTTTTAATTCATTTGCAGTAATGTACTTGTTCTTAATTTATCTGAAGTAATTTACTTCTTCTTAATCCGTCTAAAGTGATTTACTTCCCTTTGGTTCATTTCTGAATTGGTTAACTTTCTTTCAAATCATGTCTCAAATAAATCTCAGGTCTTTTATTAATAAAAAATAATAACAAAAATGTAAATCAAACACAAACAAACACATGATTTTAAAAATGAATTTTCATTTAAGGAAGAATTACAAATTGTTTCAATATTCTACAAAAATGAAAAAACAAAAGTTCTCTGCTGGAGAGGTGACTGCATTAGCTCCTACTCAGCTGGAGGAGGTGGCTGTGTTGGCTGCTGCTCGTCTGGCAGAGGAGGCTGCTCATCGTCAGAAAGAACTGGATGAATCTCCACTTCTGGAGCTGGTTGCACCTCACCCACTTTAGCTCCCTCCACTCCTGCCTCCATCTCGCCCTCCTCTACCTCTGCCCCTTCTTCCTCCACTGCAACGAACTCGAAGTCGAACTGTGGAGGAAAAACAGCAAGACCGTCTGCATCATTCTCCCACCTCAGCTTAATCTGAGGACAGAAGTCTGCTGACATGCTCTCGCCATCCTCCTCCACTCCTTCTTCTTGCTCGCCGAAGGTGATCTTCATCACATCCACTTCGGGATATTCAGCCTTCACCTTCTTTCTGCAATCTGTGAAGGCAATGATGGCAGTGGGCAACCGGTACAGGTTGACGATGCTATCAAACGAGCTGGAACTGATGAAGTTGCTGATGTGCTCCTTCATCCCGTTATGCACCAACTTCCACATGTTCCCCTTCAGCTCCTTGAATGCCTCCGTCATCAGCTTCATTTCTTGCGCCTGAGCCTCACGCTCGCTTTCAGCAATCCTTCGTTTGCTCTCCTCAAAAGCGAGCTTGGTGCTCAGGGAAGACCTCTCCTGCTCCAACTGTGAAACAGTTGGAACCACCTCGTTCAGAGACTCTTGCAACTCCTTATTTTTCTTCTCCAACACTTCCTTCTCCTTCTGCAGCTGGTCTCGCTGCCTCTGCAAGAGTGCGCGATCCTTCAGGCTCTCCCTGAATTCCTGGGCTAGACCATTCACCCAGCTCGCGCTCTGCAGATCAAATCTAAAGTTAAAAACAACATTGAACGAGGAGAAAATGAAGCAGGTTCACTAAACAACATTACTACTTTAACTTACCTCTAGAACGTGCTTCACAACAGACGCTCCACCATACCTCAGAGCTTCCTGCCGCGCGTTGCTTTGGTCCACCTCGAGGAAGGTGTTGTTGATGAACCACCTGGCCCCCGTTATGTTCTTTGCCTCGAACAAGCTGCTCTGAGGCCCCAGTGGGGGAATAGGCCCCTTCCCTTTATCAGGAGCTCGTACCTCAGCCCCCTCCTCCAACTGTCTGAGCTCAGGGTCCAGCTCAACAGGAGAAGGTTGAGGTACGAACTTAGGAACCTCATCCCCCTCATCCTCCTCCACCACCTTCTGCTTCTTCTACAGTGCCTTCCTCTCCTCCCAACCCTTCCTCTTCAGCGGCGGCACCTCCTCCTCCGTCTCAGCTGAAGCCAAGCGCACCATCTCCTTCCCAGCCCTCCCCTCATCCACTTGCTTGGTCAAAGTCTTTGACTTCTTCCTTGGCTTCTTGGGGATGGGCGCTCCTCCAGCAGTATTTAAAAACTGGTCCATTTCAGCTGCAAAGCAAGAAACACAATATTAATCACAATTCTATGTTCTACATTCAACGCTACAGTGCATGTTTCACAAACCTTCACTCAAAGCGCTTGGCCCATAGAGCTCAGCAGCTTCTATGCATGCTACACTGGTGAGGTCCATGATATTCAACACATCTCCCCCTTTCCTCACCAACTTCCTCACTTCTTCCTCCTCATCTTCATTTAAGCTAAACCTATTCTGGTTTGCCCTTTTGGCCTTCCAGGAGGCTAACTCCCTCACCTCGGTATCCCCCTTCCCCCACTCCGTATCATCCACAAAAAAGAATTTTTCCTTCCATCCCTTAATGGATGAAAGACCTGCAGTGAATAAAATCCTACTTTCCTTCTTAGCTACCCTGGGGGTGAAATAATACCGCCCCTTATCCCTCCTACTTCCCCCCTTTAAAACAAAAAAAGTACTTAAACATATTTACAGTTGGCACACTAATCCCCTAAGCTCGGCAATAAACTAAAAAACCTATTATTACCCTCATTGCGTTGGGGACCAGCTGTGTCAACCCTATGTTGTAATCTAATAGTAAACCTATTAGCAACTCAGGAAGTGGAAACCTGAGTCCCGCTATCAAATAGTGGGAATACACAGGCATCCAGTGATCCCGAGGAGCAGAGCATGCCCTCTCCTCTACCCCAGTTAGCCTAACTAACACTCGAGACGAGATTTTGTAATTTTCTATTAAGTGACCCAGGCTATCCCTGGTCCTTAGCTCAGATCTGTATTGCTTCACCTCCTCCACTATTTCTGCATTCACATCGTAATTCCTCTCTCCTCTACCCTCTACTTCTACTACGGTGATAGGTATGCTATCTACCCTAACCCCTACCACCTCATCCCTCCCCACCTCTACCACCTCATCCCTCCCCACCTCTACCACCTCTCTCTCCCCAACCTCCACCCCCTCATCTCCTCTCACCCCCTCTACCGTTGGAGATGGACTACTCTCTGCGTCCATGCTCCCATAGTCCAGGGGCATCACCTCACTCCCAACTACACTTTCTGCTCCTTCTGAGGACATTTTTTCAAAATCTGCACGAAGTAGGGGGAGGAATAAATCA